CCATACACTGCTGAATTGGATCCTACAGCACCCTTGGATCAGGGGCCATAGCACCCCGGGGGGTGGTCCCCATAGCACCCCGGGGGGTGGTCCCCATAGTACCCCGGGGGGGGTTGTCCCCATAGCACATGAGGCTTGGACCCTATAGCACCCCAAATTCGACCCCATACACCCCTGAATTGGGCCCTATAGCACCCTTAGATCAGACCCCATAGCACCTTGGGGTGGGGTCTCCATAGCACATCAGGCTTGAACCATATAGCACCCCAAATTCGACTCCATACACCCCTGAATTTGTCCTATAGCACCCCTTGTGCCTCACACTTGGACCTTATCGCACCCCAAATTCAACCCCATACAGCCCTGAATTAGACCCTTGAGCACCTTTGCATCAGACCCCATAGCACCCCAAGGGGGTCCTCTTAGTGCATCATGCTTGGACCTTATAGCACCCCAAATTCCACCCCATACACCCCTGAATTGGACCCTGGGGTGGGTGGGATGCTACACCCTGCATCCTACAGCCCTGCAGAGCGGGACCCCACAGCCCCCTGGGTGGAACACCCATAACGAACCCCTGGGCACCATTTAGGCAGGCACTGACCCCCCTCTTCCATCATTTCCCCCCCCCAAGAACCAACGGGACCCGATGGCGCTGGATAAGATCATGAAGGACCTGGACCAGTGCCGCGATGGCAAAGTTGGCTTCCAGGGCTTCTTCTCCCTGGTGGCCGGGCTCACCATCGCCTGCAACGACTACTTCGTGCTGCACATGAAGCAGAAGGGCCGGAAGTGAGGGCGGCACCCATGGGTGCTGCTGCCCCCTCCCAACACCCAGCGGCTCTGCCCCCCCCTTCCCCAAACACCCATGGGTTGTATCCACACACCCCCCCCCCGTAGGTGCTGCCTCGCCACCCATGGGTTCTATCCAAACACCCCATGGGTGCTGCCCCCCAACCCATGGGTGCTGCCGACCCCCCCCCCTCGCTGCCCCCCCCCCCTAATAAAGCTGTTTTGTACTACGCTGGAGCTGCTGCATCCATTGGGGTCCCCCCTGGTCCCTGTGTGTCCCCCCCTTTCTATGGGGTCTCCCCTGTGTCCCCATCACCCCGGGGTCCCTGTCCCCCATTGGGGTCTAATGGGGGGGGGTGTGACGTCACCCTCGGGCCGCTGACCATGTGTGTAATCACCAGCAATCGGGAGTGACGTCACGTCTTTGGGACCCCCCCCCCGGTGTCTCCGTTGACGTCCTCACGGGACCCCCTCCCCCAGGGGCGTGGTCATAGGAGAGGTGGGCGTGGTCTATGGTGCGGTGGGCGGGGTCACGGGATGTGGGCGGGGCCAAAAGGGCCGTGGGACACAAGGGGGACACGGACACGGGGAGGGGTGGGGGGGGGTTGGATCGCAAATGGGGCCACGGGGAGAGCACGGGCATGCGGGGACGGACGCGGGCACACGCGGATACGGGGCCGGATCGGCGGCCGTGGGGCCGCGGGGGTGCGGGGTCCCGGGGGGCACCCAAGGGCGGCTGCACCGGATACATCGGGGTCCCGCGGCCGCACCCCACGGCCGGACCCAGAGTGGGGCTGGGGGGGGACCCCGATGGTGCCACTGCCCCCCCCTCCCGGGGTCCCCGCCCCCCTCGTGCCTCAGTTCCCCCCCCCCCCAGCCCCATGGAAAGTCGGAAACTTCCAGCGCAGGGGGGGGGGGGGGGCGGGGGGCGGGGGGGGGGGGGGGGGGGGGGGGGGGGGGCGGGGGGGGGGGCCCCCGCGCCCTTATAGCGCTGCCCCGCGCGCCGCCGGCACCGGCATCACCATGCGAGGTAGGGCCCGGCACGGGCTGCGCACACGCGTGTGCGGGGGGGGGGATGGACACGCGTGTGTGCGTGTAAGCGTGTGAGGGCGGTCACAGAGGGGGCACACGCGTGTGCAGGGTCAGGGGCAGACGTGTGTGCACACGCGTGTGCGAGCAGTGGAAGCCTGTAGGCTCAGGTGTGCGGGTGGGAGCCCGCAGGAGCGTGTACACGCGTGTGCAAGCGTGTGCGTGTGCAAGGGGCACGTGGGGATCCGTGTGCGTGTGCAAGGGGGGGGCAGGGGTGTGTGTGCACGCACATGTGTGCAGACACGCGTGTGAGGGTGCACATGTGTGTGTGAGAGCACTGGGAGCTGACGGGGCATAGAGGCTGCATGTATCAGCCTAGTGCAGCATCACACATATTTTATAGCCATCACACATGTGTTAGCACATGACCACGCGTGTTCTGGTGTGTGCAGGCGTGTTTGGGGGCACACGTGCAAGGACGGCTGTGTCAACGGCATCTGCACACACTCTGCGGTCTGTGCATCCATGTTACAGCGTGTTGCTGCATGCACACGCGTGTTACAGCATGTTGCTGCGTGTACACGTGTGCTGCAGCGTGTGGCAGGGTGGTGCAGGCTCTGGGTGTCCCTGCATGGAGCCTGTTGCAGGGAGCACGCATGGGTCACAGGGTGCACATGTGCTGCAGGGTAAACACGCATGTTGCAGGGCATGCATGCATGTTATTGCATGCCCCCGTGTTGCACCATAGCCGCAGCTGCGCGGGGCCATAGTGGGGGCCGGGTGCCCCCCCCCAGCACCCATGGGTGCCCCCACACAGCTGCGGGTCGGGCGCTCGCCCTTAGATGTGGTAGGGGCTGGCGCAGGTGGCACAGATGGGGACATGACAGTGACACGGATGGGGACACAGATGGGGACACGCAGGTGCCCCCCCCTTGGTGCTGGGGAAACTGAGGCAGGGGCACCCGCACCCCGGGGTCCCCCTCCATGTCCTGGGGTGTTGGCCTGTGCCGTGACGTGTGTGTCCGTGTCATGGCATGCTGGCCAGTGCCGTGACGTGTGTGTCCGTGTCATGGCATGTTGGCCAGTGCCGTGACGTGTGTGTCCGTGTCATGGCATGTTGGCCTGTGCCGTGACGTGTGTGTCCGTGTCATGGCATGCTGGCCAGTGCCGTGACGTGTGTGTCCGTGTCATGGCGTGTTGGCCAGTGCCGTGACGTGTGTGTCCGTGTCATGGCATGTTGGCCAGTGCCGTGACGTGTGTGTCCGTGTCATGGCATGTTGGCCAGTGCCGTGACGTGTGTGTCCGTGTCATGGCATGTTGGCCTGTGCCGTGACGTGTGTGTCCGTGTCATGGCGTGTTGGCCAGTGCCGTGACGTGTGTGTCCGTGTCATGGCATGTTAGCCTGTGCCGTGACGTGTCTGCCCATGTCGTGGTGTGTTTTGCCGTGACGCTGCATCAGGTCATCCGCCCATGGGAGCACGGCTGCTGATGGGTGCTAACGGATGCTCATAGGGCTGATGGGTGCCTCGGAGGCTGTGGTACCCTGTGGATGATGGGTGCTGGTGGATGCTGATGAGGATGATGGGTGCTCATGGATGCCATGGCGCTGGTGGGTGTTGGTGGTTCTGATGGGGACTGTTGGGTGCCAATGGGGCTGTGGGTGCTGCCGGCTGCTGATGGCAATGATGGGTACTGGTGGGTGTTGGTGGGGCTACTGGTGGGCACTGTTGTGTGCCAATAGGGCCATTGTGGTGCTGGTGGGTGTTGATGGGTCTGACAGTCACTGCTGGGTTATGATGGGGCCGTTGGGTGCTTGTGGGTGCTGAGGAGCACCACTGGGTGCTGGTGGGTGCTGTTAGGTGCTGGGGAGCACCGTTGGGTGCTGGTGGGTGCCATTGGGTGCTGAGTAATGCTGCTGGGTGCTTTGGGATGCCATTAGGTGCTGGTGGGTGCCGTTAGGTGCTGGTGAGCACCGTTGGGTGCTGGTGGTTGCTGAGGGGCACCGTTGGGTGCTGGGGAGCACCGCTGGGTGCTTTCAGATGCTGTTAGGTGCTGGTGGGTGCCATTGGGTGCTGAGGGGCACCACTGGGTGCTGGGGAGCACCGCTGGGTGCTTTCAGATGCTGTTAGGTGCTGGTGGGTGCCACTGGGTGCTGAGGGGCACCGTTGGGTGCTGGGGAGCACCGCTGGGTGCTGGGGAGCACCGCTGGGTGTTTTCAGATGCTGTTAGGTGCTGAGGGGCACCGTTGGGTGCTGAGGGGCACCGTTGGGTGCTGAGGGGCACCGTTGGGTGCTGAGGGGCACCGTTGGGTGCTGGGGAGCACTGCTGGGTGCTTTCAGATGCTGTTAGGTGCTGGTGGGTGCCATTGGGTGCTGAGGGGCACCGTTGGGTGCTGGGGAGCACCGCTGGGTGCTTTCAGATGCTGTTAGGTGCTGGTGGGTGCCATTGGGTGCTGAGGGGCACCGTTGGGTGCTGGGGAGCACTGCTGGGTGTTTTCAGATGCTGTTAGGTGCTGGTGAGCACCGTTGGGTGCTGGGCACCGTGGTGCTGCCGTGGTGCTGGGCACCGTTGGGTGCTGGGGCACGTGGGTGCTCAGAGCGTTAGGTGCTGGGGTCCTGGGTGCTGGCACCGTTGGGTGCTGGGCACCTGGTGTTTGGTGCTGGTGAGCACCGTTGGGTGCTGGGGAGCACCGCTGGGTGTTTTCAGATGCCGTTGGGTGCTGAGGGGCACCGTTGGGTGCTGGTGAGCACCGTTGGGTGCTGGGGAGCACCACTGGGTGCTTTCAGATGCTGTTAGGTGCTGGTGGGTGCCGTTGGGTGCTGGTGAGCACCGTTGGGTGCTGGAGGCACTGCTGGGTGCTTTCAGATGCTGTTAGGTGCTGGTGGGTGCCGTTGGGTGCTGGTGAGCACCGTTGGGTGCTGGAGGCACTGCTGGGTGCTTTCAGATGCTGTTAGGTGCTGGTGGGTGCCGTTGGGTGCTGGTGAGCACCGCTGGGTGCTGAGGGGCACCGTTGGGTGCCGGCGGTGCCGTGGGAGCGTCGGGCGCCGTCGGGCGAGACCTCGGCGACCTCTGGCCGCGGTTCCCGGCAGGAGCCGCACCGAAAGGGCGCTTCCCGGCAGCGCCGGCGCGGGGCTGAGTCAACGCGGAGCATCCCGGGGCTCCCGGTGCCGGATGCGGCCCCGACGGGAGAGCGCGGCCCCGCTCTTGGGCCTCGGGGGGGAGAGGAGCGAGAGCGGCTGCGGGTGCGGCTGCGGGTGCGGGTGCGTGCGGGGCCGAGCGCGGTGCAGGCGGACGGGACCTGCAGCGTCCCCAGCGCCAGGGACCCGCGGCTCCGGGGTCCCCGTCCCCACCGCCCCCGTTCCCGGGGCCTCCCCCCGCGGTCCCTGTCCCCGGGGCCGGGGCTGCGCCTTCCTGCGAGGTGGGGCCGTGCCCCAATTGCGGCTTCCCCGGCGCTCGCTGCCGCTGCGGTTTCGCAGCCCCCGGCGTCCGGTTCGGCCGAACCTGCACGGGGGCACCGGGGGGGCACCGGGGGGCACCGGGGGCACCGCGGCCCCGAGGCCCCGGGCACGCTCCTGGGAGGAGCCCATCGGTGATGAGCGGGGCCCCGGGTACCGACGGGGTCCTGGTGGGAACGGGGGTGGCAGATGTGGCCCCACCGCGGACACGTGAGCCCATAGGGTGCTGTGGATCTGTCACCCCCATAGGTGACACATGAGCCCATGCGGGACACACAGAGAGCACGGGTGGCACACGCGGGGCCTGTGGGTGCTATGGGGGGGGCTATAGGGTGCCATGGGGTGCCTATGGGTGCTCACAGCGTCCCTCCTTCCCGCAGCCCACATCGAGGTGATTCCCTGCAAGATCTGTGGGGACAAATCCTCGGGGATCCACTACGGCGTCATCACCTGTGAGGGCTGCAAGGTGGGACTGGGAGCTAGGGGGTGCTATGGGGTGCTATAGGGGTGCCATGGGGTGCTATGGGGTGCTATGGGGTGCCATGGGGTGCTATGGGGTGCTATAGGGGTGCCATGGGGTGCCATGGGGTGCCGTGTGCTGACCCCCGGTGCAGGGCTTCTTCCGGCGCAGCCAGCAGAGCAGCCTGAGCTACGCCTGCAGCCGGCAGCAGAACTGCCCCATTGACCGCGCCAGCCGCAACCGGTGCCAGCACTGCCGCCTGCAGAAGTGCCTGCGCCTCGGCATGTCCCGCGACGGTGGGTGCCCGCGGGGCCCCCTCGGGTGTCCCCATCCCCGGGTCCATGTCCCCATCCCCCTTGCCTGTCCTCATCCTGGCTGTGTGTCCCCATCCTGGGTCTGTGTCTCTATCCCTGGGTTCATGTCCCCATCCCCGGGTCCATGTCCCCATCCCCAGACCCATGTCTCCATCCCTGCTGCATGTCTCTATCACTGGGTCCATGTCCCCATCCCCCTTGCCTGTCCTCATCCTGGCTGTGTGTCCCCATCCCAGGTTCATGTCCCCATCCCCAGGTCCATGTCTCTGTCCCAGGGTCCTTGTCCTCATCCCGGGTCCATGTCTCTACCCCTGGGTCCATGTCCACATCTCATTTGCATTTCCCCATCCCAGGTCCATGTCCCCATCCTGGGTCTGTGTCTCTATCCCTGGGTTCATGTCCCCATCCCCGGGTCCATGTCCCCATCCCCAGACCCGTGTCTCCATCCCTGCTGCATGTCTCTATCCCTGGGTCCATGTCCCTATCCCTGGGTCCATGTCTCTATCCCTGGGTCCCTGTCTCTATCCCTGGGTCCATGTCTCTATCCCTGGGTCCATGTCTCTGTCCCTGGGTCCCTGTCTCTATCCCTGGGTCCATGTCCCTATCCCTGGGTCCATGTCTCTATCCCTGGGTCCATGTCCCTATCCCTGGGTCCCTGTCTCTATCCCTGGGTCCCTGTCTCTATCCCTGGGTCCATGTCTCTATCCCTGGGTCCATGTCCCTATCCCTGGGTCCCTGTCTCTATCCCTGGGTCCCTGTCTCTATCCCTGGGTCCATGTCTCTGTCCCTGGGTCCATGTCCCTATCCCTGGGTCCATGTCTCTGTCCCTGGGTCCCTGTCCCTATCCCCGGCTCCACGTCCCCACCCCAGCTCCACGTCCCCATCCCCACTGCGCATCCCCCAGCACCGCTCCCACCCGGTTGTGCCGCGGTGTCGCCGGGAGGCAGCCGAGCACCGGGGCTGCACCGGAGGAAGCGGCGGCAGCGCCGGCTGTGACCCACGCGTGCGGCCGGGAAGCTCCGGTGCCTGTGCAGGTCACGGGGCGCCGCCGGTCACGCACACGCGTGTGTCACGCTTGTGGCACGCGTGTCCCAGCGCCGCCACCCCCCCCTGCAGCCGTCAAGTTCGGCCGCATGTCCAAGACGCAGCGGGACCGGCTGCAGGCCGAGGTGCAGCAGCAGCTCCAGCAGCGGCAGCGGGCGGCAGAGGGGGCAGCGGGGGGGCTGCCGGGGCACCGGGGCCTGGCGCTCACCCCCACCGGCACCCGCCCCGGCGGCGCAGACGGCAGAGCCGGGACCATGGCACCGGTGGAGCCACGACCGATGGAGGGGAGCAAACGGGGCCTGGATGGGGATGGGGACAGACGCGGGCATGGGGACAGCTTCTACCCCCGCCCTGATGCTGGCACCGTCCTGGATCAACCCACGTCCTCCAGTGTGGAGATCGGTGAGTTCCTGGGTGCCCTGAGCCTGTGGGGATGCCTTTGGCACCCAGGGGTGCTCAGTGGTGGTGGGACCTGGCTCCATCACCCATGGGTGCTCAGTGGTGGTGGGACCTGGATCCATTGCCCATGGGTGCTCAGTGGTGGTGGGACCAGGCTCCATCACCCATGGGTGCTCAGTGGTGGTGGGACCAGGCTCCATCACCCATGGGTGCTCAGTGATGGTGGGACCTGGCTCCATCACCCATGGGTGCTCAGTGATGGTGGGACCCGGCTCCATCACCCATGGGTGCTCAGTGGTGGTGGGACCTGGTTCCATCACCCATGGGTGCTCAGTGGTGGTGGGACCTGGCTCCATCACCCATGGGTGCTCAGTGGTGGTGGGACCTGGTTCCATCACCCATAGGTGCTCAGTGATGGTGGGACCTGGCTCCATCACCCATGGGTGCTCAGTGATGGTGGGACCCGGCTCCATCACCCGTGGGTGCTCATTGGTGGTGGGACCCAGCTCCATCACCCATGGGTGCTCAGTGGTGGTGGGACCTGGTTCCATTACCCATAGATGCTCAGTGGTGGTGGTACTCGGCTCCATCACCCATGGGTGCTCAGTGGTGGTGGGACCTGGCTCCATCACTCATAGGTGCTCAGTGATGGTGGGACCTGGCTCCATCACCCATGGGTGCTCATTGGTGGTGGGACCCAGCTCCATCACCCATGGGTGCTCAGTGGTGGTGGGACCTGGTTCCATTACCCATAGGTGCTCAGTGGTGGTGGTACCCGGCTACATCACCCATGGGTGCTCAGTGGTGGTGGGACCTGGCTCCATCACTCATAGGTGCTCAGTGATGGTGGGACCCAGCTCCATCACCCAGGGGTGCTCAGTGGTGGTGGGACCTGGCTCCATCACCCATAGGTGCTCAGTGGTGGTGGGACCTGGCTCCATCACCCATAGGTGCTCAGTGGTGGTGGGAGCCGGCTCCATCACCCATAGGTGCTCAGTGGTGGTGGGACCTGTCTCCATCACATAGGGGTGCTCATTGGTGGTGGGACCTGGCTCCATCACCCATGGGTGCTCAGTGGTGGTGGGACCTGGCTCCATCACTCATAGGTGCTCAGTGATGGTGGGACCTGGCTCGATCACCCACGGGTGCTCATTGGCGGTGGGATCAGGCTCCATCACCCATGGGTGCTCAGTGGTGGTGGGACCCGGCTCCATCACCCATAGGTGCTCATTGGTGGTGGGACCTGGCTCCATCACCCATGGGTGCTCATTGGTGGTGGGACCCGGCTCCATCACCCATGGGTGCTCAGTGGTGGTGGGACCTGGCTCCATGACCCATGGGTGCTCATTGGTGGTGGGACCCGGCTCCATCACCCATGGGTGCTCAGTGGTGGTGGGACCTGGCTCCATCACCCATGGGTGCTCATTGGTGGTGGGACCTGGCACCATCATCCATAGGTGCTCAGTGATGGTGGGACCTGGCTCCATCACCCATGGGTGCTCAGTGGTGGTGGGACCCGGCTCCATCACCCATGGGTGCTCATTGGTGGTGGGAACAGGCTCCATCACCCATGGGTGCTCATTGGTGGTGGGACCCAGCTCCACCACCCATAGGTGCTGTCACCCACAGAGCAGCTCACCCAGAACGTGCTCAAGTCCTACCACGAGACGTGCCATCTCCGTGCCGAGGACCTGCAGCGCCGGCGCTGGGACACCTTCTCCCGCGAGGAGATCTCCGCCTACCAGAAGAAGGTGAGGCCGCCGCGGTTGGGGACACGGCAGCCCTGGGGCACCCATGGGTGCCGGGCGCTGCGGGGTGTGTTTGGGGTGGGGATGATGCCGGTCCTGCAGCCGATGGAGGAGATGTGGCAGCGCTGCGCCGTGCGCATCACTGAAGCCATCCAGCACGTGGTGGAGTTCGCCAAGCGCCTGCGCGGCTTCAGGGAGCTCTGCCAGAACGACCAGATCGTGCTCCTTAAAGCGGGTATGGGGTGACCGGGTCCCATCATGGGGGTGATGCTCCCATGGGTCCCATCATGGGGGTGATGCTCCCATGGGTCTCATCGTGGGGGTGGTGCTCCCATGGGTTCCATCATGAGGGTGATGCTCCCATGGGCCCCATCATGGGGGTGATGCTCCCATGGGCCCCATCATGGGGGTGATGCTCCCATGGGTTCCATCATGGGGGTGATGCTCCCATGAGTCCCATCATGAGGGTGATGCTCCCATGCGTCCCATCATGAGGGTGATGCTCCGATGCGTCCCATCATGGGGGTGATGCTCCCATGCGTCCCATCATGAGGGTGATGCTCCCATTGGTCCCATCATGGGGGTGATGCTCCCATGGGTCCCATCATGGGGGTGATGCTCCCATGCGTCCCATCATGGGGGTGATGCTCCCATGGGTTCCATCACGAGGGTGATGCTCCGATGCATCCCATCATGAGGGTGATGCTCCCATGCGTCCCATCATGGGGGTGATGCTCCCATGGGTTCCATCACGAGGGTGATGCTCCGATGCATCCCATCATGGGGGTGATGCTCCCATGGGTTCCATCATGAGGGTGATGCTCCCATGGGTCCCATCATGGGGGTGGTGCTCCCATGGGTCCCATTATGGGCATGATGGTCCCATGGGCCTCATCGGAGAGGTGATAGTACTGGGGGTCCCATCATGTGGGTGATGGTCCGGAGGTCCCATCATGGGGGGTGGTGCTTCCATGGGACCCATCATGGGGGTGATGCTCCCATGGGTCCCAGTGGGTAGGTGCCAGTCCCAGGGGTCCCATCACGGGGGTGATGCTCCCATGGGTCCCACTGGTCGGTGCCGTTCCACTCCCAGTGTCCCCACAGGCGCCATGGAGGTGGTGCTGGTGCGCATGTGCCGCGCCTTCAACGCCGACAACCGGACCGTGTTCTTCGAGGGCAAGTACGCCGGTGCCGAGCTCTTCCGGTCGCTGGGTAGGGCTGGGGACACGGGGGGACACGGTGTGTGTGTGGGGATGGATGGGGGGGACACGGTGTGTGTGTGGGGATGGACACAGGGGACACGGTGTGTGTGTGGGGATGGACACGGGGGACACGGTGTGTGTGTGGGGATGGATGGGGGGGACACGGTGTGTGTGTGGGGATGGATGGGGGGGACACGGTGTGTGTGTGGGGATGGACACAGGGGACACGGTGTGTGTGTGGGGATGGATGGGGGGGGGGACACGGTGTGTGTGTGGGGATGGATGGGGGGGGGGACACGGTGTGTGTGTGGGGATGGACACAGGGGACACAGTGTGTGTGTGGGGATGGATGGGGGGGGACACGGTGTGTGTGTGCGATGGACACAGGGGACACGGTGTGTGTGTGGGGATGGATGGGGGGGGGGACACGGTGTGTGTGTGGGGATGGACACAGGGGGACACGGTGTGTGTGTGGGGATGGACACGGGGGGACACGGTGTGTGTGTGGGGATGGACACAGGGGGACACGGTGTGTGTGTGGGGATGGACACAGGGGACACGGTGTGTGACAGTGGGGATGGACACAGCGGGACACGGTGTGTGTGTGGGGATGGATGGGTGGACACAGGGGACACGGTGTGTGCGTGGGGATGGACACGGCGGGGACACGGTGTGTGTGTGGGGATGGATGGGGGGGGACACGGTGTGTGTGTGGGGATGGACACAGACACGGTGTGTGTGTGGGGATGGACACAAGACACGGTGTGTGTGTGGGGATGGATGGACACAGGGGGGGGACACGGTGTGTGTGTGGGGATGGATGGGGGGGGGGACACGGTGTGTGTGTGGGGATGGACACGGGGGGGGACACGGTGTGTGTGTGGGGGGATGGACACAGGGGGACACGGTGTGTGTGTGGGGATGGATGGGGGGGGGGACACGGTGTGTGTGTGGGGATGGATGGGGGGGGACACGGTGTGTGTGTGGGGATGGACACAAGGGCACACAGTGTGTGTGTGGGGATGGACACAAGGGACACGGTGTGTGTGTGGGGATGGACACAAGGGGACACGGTGTGTGTGTGGGGATGGACACAAGGGCACACAGTGTGTGTGTGGGGATGGATGGGGGGGACACGGTGTGTGTGTGGGGATGGACACGGGGGGACACGGTGTGTGTGTGGGGATGGATGGGGGGGACACGGTGTGTGTGTGGGGATGGATGGGGGGGACACGGTGTGTGTGTGGGGATGGACACGGGGGGACACGGTGTGTGTGTGGGGATGGACACAGGGGGACACGGTGTGTGTGTGGGGATGGATGGGGGGGACACGGTGTGTGTGTGGGGATGGACACAGGGGACACGGTGTGTGTGTGGGGATGGACACAAGGGGACACGGTGTGTGTGTGGGGATGGACACAGGGGACACGGTGTGTGCGTGGGGATGGACACAGGGGACACGGTGTGTGCGTGGGGATGGACACAGCGGGACACGGTGTGTGTGTGGGGATGGATGGGGGGGACACGGTGTGTGTGTGGGGATGGACACAGGGGACACGGTGTGTGTGTGGGGATGGATGGGGGGGACACGGTGTGTGTGTGGGGATGGACACAAGGGGGACACGGTGTGTGTGTGGGGATGGACACAAGGGGACACGGTGTGTGTGTGGGGATGGACACGGGGGGACACGGTGTGTGTGTGGGGATGGATGGGGGGGGGGACACGGTGTGTGCGTGGGGATGGACACAGGGGGGACACGGTGTGTGTGTGGGGATGGATGGGGGGGGGGACACGGTGTGTGTGTGGGGATGGATGGGGGGGACACGGTCTGTGTGTGGGGATGGACACAAGGGCACACAGTGTGTGTGTGGGGATGGATGGGGGGGACACGGTGTGTGTGTGGGGATGGACACGGGGGGACACGGTGTGTGTGTGGGGGATGGATGGGGGGGGACACGGTGTGTGCGTGGGGATGGACACAAGGGGGCACGGTGTGTGTGTGGGGATGGATGGAGGGGACACGGTGTGTGCGTGGGGATGGACACAGGGGGACACGGTGTGTGTGTGGGGATGGACGACACGGTGTGTGTGTGGGGATGGATGGGGGGGGACACGGTCTGTGTGTGGGGATGGACACAGGGGGGCACACGGTGTGTGTGTGGGGATGGATGGGGGGGGGGACACGGTCTGTGTGTGGGGATGGACACAGGGGGGACACGGTGTGTGTGTGGGGATGGACACGGGGGGACACGGTGTGTGTGTGGGGATGGATGGGGGGGACACGGTGTGTGTGTGGGGATGGACACGGGGGGCACACGCAGTGACCAGGGCTCCCCCCAGGCTGCCATGAGCTCATCGGCTCCATCTTCGACTTCGCCCAGAGCCTCTGTGCTCTGCAGTGCTCGGAGCCCGAGGTCGCCTTCCTCAGCGCCCTCGTCCTCGTCAATGCCAGTGAGGACCCCCCCTGCCTCAGTTCCCCCCAACCCAGCCCAATGGGAACCCAGCAGGGTTGTCCCTAAACCGGTGCAGGGTGTCCTGGGGTATCCCTGCTGTGTCCCACTCCATCCCCACCCGTGTCCCATCCTGCCATGGTCCCATCTCCATCTCACCCTCATCCTGTCCTGGTCCCCATCCCTGTCCCTGTCCTGTACCAATCCTGTCCCTCTGTCAGTCCCAACACTGTCTGCATCCCTGTCCCCATCCCAACCCTGTCGCAATCCATTTCCCCATGCCAGTCTTATCCCATCCTGTCCCATCCCTGTATCCATCACTGCCCTGTTCCAGTCCTCATCCCATCCTACCCTCTCCCTGTCCCAATCTCATTGTGTTCTTGTCCCCATCCCTGTCCTCTTTCTATGCCACCCCATCCCAACCCCTTCCCATCATCCCCTCCCAATCCCACCCCATCCCTGTCCTCCTCCTATCACACCCCATCCCAACCCCATCCCATCCCATCATCCCAATCCCACCCCATCCCTGTCCTCCTCCTATCCGACCCCATCCCAACCCCTTCCCATCATCCCCTCCCAATCCCACCCCATCCCTGTCCTCCTCCTATCCGACCCCATCCCAACCCCTTCCCATCATCCCAATCCCACCCCATCCCTGTCCTCCTCCTATCTCACCCCATCCCAACCCCATCCCATCCCATCATCCCAATCCCACCCCATCCCTGTCCTCCTCCTATCCCACCCCATCCCAACCCCTTCCCATCCCACCCCATCCCTGTCCCCCCCCAACCCCCCGGTGTCCCCCCCAGGCCGCCCGTGGCTGCAGGAGCCGGTGAAGGTGTCGCGGCTGCGGTGCCGCCTGGAACTTGCCTTCCAGCTGCTGCTGCGCCGCACGCGGCGCGAGGGGCTCCTGGACAGGGTGAGCCATGGGGCAGGGGGTGGGGGGGACATGGGGCTGAGAGCGGGGTGACACGTGTGAACATGTGAGAACATGTGTGTTCCCTGCACGCATGTGAGAGAACATGCATGGTCCCTGTGCACACATGTGAGAACATGTGTGTTCCGTGCATGCGCGTGTGAGAACACACGTGTTCCCTGTGCACATGTGTGAGAACACGCTTGTTCCCTGCGCGCATGTGTGAGAACACACATGGTCCCTCTGCGCACGTGTGAGAACACGCATGGTCCCTGTGCTGTGCACATGTGTGAGAACACGCATGGTCCCTCTGTGCACGTGAGAACATGTGTGTTCCGTGCATGCACGTGTGAGAACAGGTGTGTTCCCTGCACACATGTGTGAGAACACGCATGGTCCCTGTGCACATGTGTGAAAACACACGTTCCCTGCACGCACATGAGAACACACATCCCAGTGCGCACGTGTGAGAACATGCATGGTCCCTGTGCATATGTGTGAGAACATGCATGTTCCCTGTGCGCATGTGTGAGAACACGCATGTTCCCTCCGTGCACATGAGAACACGCGTGTTCCCTCCACGCACATGTGAGAACACGCGTGTCACGTGTCTCATTGCATGCAGCTGCCGCCGCAGGGCCGCCTGCGGGCGCTGTGCTCGCAGCACATGGAGCAGCTCCAGGCCCTGCGCCGCCGCCATCCCCCGGCTCTGCTCGACGCCTTCCCCCCGCTCTACCGGGAGCTCTTCGCTGGGGAGGCTGAAGGCACCGGTGCCGCACGATGAACCCCGGCACCGCACCGGGAGCCGGCACCGCACCGGGCCCACACCCGCGGTGCTGCCATGGGGAGATGAACCGGGGAATAAAGGGATTTATAACGGGGTTTACGTGCCCGGTGTGTCCGTACGGCGGCGCTGGAGGGTGGGCACCAGGACCCCGCGTCCACCCCGCGTGGGGCATTGTGGGACGGGGCAGACCCGGCCGTCACTCGGGTGGGTCCGAGCCGCCCTGCTGCTCGTTCGCTGATTGGCTCCAGCCGGCAGCCGCGCGGAGCGGATTGGCTGCTTTATTCCCAGGCAGGTGCTGTACCCCGCCCCTTCGCCCCTCTCTTCCCACCCTCTCGTGTGGGAGCCCGCCCGCGGATTGGCCACCGGCTCTCTACGGCAGCGATTGGTGGGGCGGGGGAGGAGCTGGGTGGTGATTGGGCAGCCGCTGGAGGGGGCGGGGCTGGCGGCGGCAGGGCGCGTGAGGCGACGGCAGCGGTGGCGGTGCGAGGGGCGACGGGGCCGGGACAGGAGTAGGGGCCAGGGCCAGGGCCGGAACGGGAACGGGGACGGGGACGGGGAGGGGGACGGGGACGAGGACGGGGACCGGGACCGGGACCGGGACCGGGACCGGGACCGGGACCGGGACCGGAGCAGAAGAGGCGGCCGCATCGGCTCTATCCCGCTCCGCAGGTGCCCTGAGGCCCGCCCCAGGAGCCGCAGCAGCTGCCCCGGCTGCGGCCTAGCAGAGCCTCTGCCCCCGCAGGGGGATGGCGGCGGTGCGGGGCTACTGGAGCAGCCTGCATCCGCTGCAGAAGGTCGCCGTGCTGCTGGGGCTCCCGGCCGGCACCACCGTGCTCTACATCCTGTACCGCCGGTACCGGGAGAGCCGAGGTGGGTGCTGCAGCATTGGAGGGAGCGGGGTCAGAGCCGCTGTGGGGGAGCTGCTTCACCTTCCCTTGTGCTGTTGGTGCCCGCAGAGGAGCATGAGACCTTCGTAGGGGACGAGGAGCTGGAAATGGAGATGCGGGTGCCCAGCGCCGCCCTCAAGGCCATCATCGGCCGGAAGGGAGCCACCATCCGGAAGGTGCGTGGTGCTGGGGGCAGCCGGGGCAGGCCCAGCTCACTGCGAGCCCCAGTGAACAGCAGCCGGGGTTGGGGGGGGGGACACCCCGCAGCTGCGGCAGGAGACGGGAGCTCGCATCGAAGTGGAGGAAGAGGAGGAGGGCGAGGAGGCGGCGCTGCGCATCTCAGGCTCGCCGGTCCAAGTGTGCCGGATGAAAGCCGCCGTGCACCAGATCGTGGCGGAGAGCACGCCGGTGGCAGAGCGGCTCTACGTGCCGCGGAGAGCCGTCGGCAGGATTATTGGTACTGCGGCCCCCTGCGTGCCAGGCCCTGTTCTGCGGTGCTCTCAGTGCCGTCAGGAGCACTGGCTCCTGTGTTGAGCCCCATCTGCTTCAGCGTCCCTGGGGCTCTGTGGCCTGCAGGTTGTGGAGGGGAGACGGTGCGGGGCATCTGCCGCAGCTCGGGGGCACGGGTGCTTTGTGAGCGGGAGGCCGACACCAGCCTCTGCCCCATGAGGGGCATCCAGCTCTCGGGGACGCGGAAGGAGGTGGAGGCCGCTAAGGTGAGCAGGAGCAGGGAGGGGTCAGGCAGCACCGAACTCCACCCTCCCTGAACCTCCAACGTCTCCTCTTTGCCCATAAGAAACTCATCCTGGAGAAGCTGATGGAAGACAATGCGCTCCGGATGGAGCTGGCGCAGGCGGCGGTGGCGCGGTGCCAGCGCAAGGCACTGCTGGGCAGCCGCCGGGAGCTGGAGCCGCTGCCCAATGGGGCACCAGAGCACAGGGAGGAGCAGGAGGGCTTGCCCTGGGGTGAAGATTTGCTCAGCTTGATGCCCTCTGAGGAGGTGGTGGAGCAGGAGGCTGAGAGCGAGGAGCTGGAGGAGCCCAGTGTCCCCATGCCCAAATTTGAGGGTAAGAGAAGCACGAGGCATTCCAATGGGGTTTGCCCCCGTGTCCTGGGGTCAGGGCCACTCCCAGGGTGCTCCCTGCGCCCCTTCCGCAGTTCCCAGCCCTGATTTTGCCTTCGATGCCGACGAACACCTCGAGGTTTACGTCTCAGCCGCCGAAAGCCCCGACCGGTTCTGGATGCAGCTGGTGGGGCAGCGCAGTCTGCAGCTGGACAAGCTGATGGCCAAGATGCGCCTGTACTACCAGCACCACAGCACCACGGTGAGCCCCACGTGTTGTTCTCCCCACACCTCCCATTGCTGCCCCTGTGTCCTGCCACCGTCCCTGTGTCCCCGCAGGCAGTGCTCTCCGATGTGCAGCCCGGTGACATCGTGGCCGCTCCTTTTGCCGCTGATGGCAACTGGTACCGCGCGCGTGTGGTGGGCCTGCAGGACAACGGCAACCTGGGCCTGCACTACGCGGACTTCGGGGACAGCGGCGAGGCCCCTCGCCAGGCACTGTGTGCCCTGCGGTGAGTGCTATGTGCCGGTGCTGGCTCTGGTGCTGTGGGTACCACATGCCACCCTCACGCAGCATTTCCCTCCTGCCAGGAGCGACTTCCTGAGCCTGCCATTCCAGGCTGTGGAGTGCGGCCTGGCTGGTGTTGTGCCTGCTGGTGAGTGGGGAACAGGGTACAGGGGGGTCCGGTGTGTCCTGGTGCTGAGCCGCAGGGCCTCGCCTGCCCACAGGTGCCGATTGGGAGCCGGCGGCACTCGACGCCTTCGCAGAGCTCTCGCACTGTGCCATGTGGGAGCCGCTGCTCGCCCGCATCGTCAGCTACGGTCCAACAGCGCCGTGCCCGCGGCCCCGCGTCCAGCTCTTTGCCATGCACGGCGGTGTGGTGAGCCCCAGGCCCTGTCCCGCTCCGGCCGGGCCCCTCCGCCCGCCCTGAGCCAGCGCTTCTCTCGGTGCAGAGCCTGGATGTAGGCACCGAGCTGGTGCGGTTGGGCCATGCCATGCCCCAGCTCTGCCATGGAGAGGAGGAGGAGGAACAGCAGCAAGCCCCGGTGCCACCGGTGAGCGCCAGCGGAGCTGCGGAGCCCGAGGAGCCCAAACCTGCTCCCGTCCCCCCGTGCCCTGCGCAGGGGATGGCAGCGTGACGCTGAGAGCTCCCGGTGCCGCTGTGCTGGCACAGCCGTTACCGGTCGCGTTCTCCCTGGTCCCCGTGGGACACTTCCCCGTGGCCCGGTTGTTGGCGCGGGGGGGGAGCAGCACCACTCGTTCAATAAACCGGAATGTTCTGCAGCACCCGGCCGCCTCCTCTGGGCACTGCAAGGGGTTCAACCGGTACCGGAGGAGGTGGTGGTTTGGGGGGTGCGCAATGGGATCAGGCGCTCTCCGGGCACCCCCAGTGGGGTCCTTGAGCAGCAGCGGCGACCTCTGCGCAGGCGCGCAACCGCCGCGGGGGTCCTTCGCTGCTCTGGGAGCGGGACGGGCGCAGCCATGTTGGTCCCGGGAGCGGCGGGAGCCTGCGGGTTCTTGGTGCGGGCGGCGAGCCGGGCCCTGAGCCTGAGCCACGGCCGGGTGAGTGCGGCACCGGGAGCGGGGGGTAGGAGGGGGGAGCCGGCCCCGCAGCCGCGGTGCTCACGGCCCGCCCCGCACAGGGCACGGTGGTGGTGGAGCGCTGGTGGCAGGTCCCGTTGAGCAAGGAGGGGCGGCCGCCCCGCGCGAACCTGCGGCGGCACCGCGTGTACCGGCTGGTGGAGGACACCAAGCACCTGCCCAAGGGCGAGCTGGAGCTCATTCTCACCCGCGCTGTGGAGGGTACGGCCCGACCACCCCGTTGATCCCGTTCTCCTTGAGGTCCCTTTCCCACCGTGCGGTGGCGGCGGGGTTCGTCCCTGCTAGGGTGCGCCGTGGTTTGGGGTTACAGAGCCCCGAAAATGGGCGTTTGGGGGCGTTTTGACTCGGGTTTTTTATTGTAAACTACGTTTACGTGGACCCGAGGGGTTGGGGGGGATGCAGGGGGATATTGTGGCCCGTTGGGGCTGCCCCGCTCCGTCCCACCCCATCCCACCCCCTGTCCCGCAGGCCTGGGCAGGCGGGGGGACCTGGTCAGCGTGAAGAAGCACTTGGGTCGGAACAAGCTGCTGCCGCAGGGACTGGCCGTGTACGCGTCGCCGGAGAACAGGAAGATGTTTGAGGAGGAGAAGGTTCGGTGGCACCGGGGCCTGGCGGGAGGCTTCGCGGTGCCGGGAGAGCCAGGTCCGTGCCGGTGGCATCCTCAGTCCTCCCTTTCCCCTCGCAGCTGCACCAGGAAGGGAAGGTGGAAGTGCAACAAACCCAGAGCGGGGAGAGGGTGAGTGCGGCGGCACTGACTGCTCAGAGCCCTGTCCCTGCTCCCCGACCCCTTCCTCCTGCCCCCCGACCCCTTCTTCCTGCCCCCAACCCCTTCTTCCTGCCCCCAACCCCTTCTTCCTACCCCTAACCCCTTCTTCCTGCCCCCAACCCCTTCTTCCTGCCCCCAACCCTTCTTCCTGCCCCCCAACCCCTTCTTCCTGCCCCCCGACCCCTTCCTCCTGCCCCCCGACCCCTTCTTCCTGCCCCCCACCTTCCTGCCCCCCGACCCCTTCCTCCTGCCCCCACCCTTTTCCCCCCGACCCCTTCCTCCTGCCCCCCGACCCCTTCCTCCTGCCCCCGACCCCTTCCTCCTGCCCCCCGACCCCTTCCTCCTGCCCCCCGACCCCTTCCTCCTGCCCCCCGACCCCTTCCTCCTGCCCCCCGACCCCTTCCTCCTGCCCCCCGACCCCTTCCTCCTGCCCCCTGACCCCTTCTTCCTGCCCCCCGACCCCTTCCCCCTGCTCTGCAGACCATCAGGTTCCTCAAGAGCTGCCGCCTCGAGGTGGGCATGAAGAACAACGTCAAGTGGGAGCTCAACAACGAGATCGTGGCTCGGCACTTCCTCAAAAACGTGAGTGCCTCTCGGCACCGCTGCCTGGAGCCGGCTCCGTGCTGGCAGCCCCCGGGGTGAGGCCGGGAAGGGTTCCCCCATGCTCCGGCTGCTCCTCAGGGTCTCCTCTCCCTCCTCAGCTGCGGGTTTTCGTCCCGCCCCACGCGCTGAAGCTGCCGGAGGAGCCCATCACCCGGTGGGGCGAGTACTGGTGCGATGTGACGGTGAGCTGGTCCCCTCTGCGTCCTCCCCATCCTGTTCCCAGTTCAGCCCCACAGCCTTGTCCCCCTTTTGGGCCCCTCCCCATGCCAGCTCTCCCACCTGAATCCAAGGAACCCGGAGCCTCAGGTGTGAGGAAGAGAATGACTGTATTAAAAACACCCCAAAACCAGAGAGAACACCCCAAAACCAGAGAAAACACCCCAATCCCCACACCCCACGTGCCCTCTGAATGATGCCATTTGCCCTCCATCCTTCCTGGCCCCCCCCCGGTTGCAGAGACCGCTCTGAATTACCCCAATGACTCCAAATCCAGGTCATCACTGCCTGGTGCCAGGGTCCAGGGACTTCACTTCTATGTGTGGGAAAGGGAAGGGCGAGGACAACCTGGTTCCAATTCCTGGCTTCCATCCCACTTCAGTCCTGCTCATCCCCTGTGTTCCCCTCCTCCTTCCCACCAACCAGCCCCCAGTGTGGTTTTGGGATGGTGCCCGTGCCGTGACCCCCGTGCCGTTGCGGTGCCGCAGGTGAACGGGCTGGACACGGTGCGGGTGCCCATGTCGGTGGTGCAGTTCCTGCGGCCCAAGACCAAGCGCTACAAGCACTGGCTGGCGCAGCACCAGGCGCGGCTGGCGGCACGCAGGGAGGAGCAGCTCTGAGCCCAGGTCCGGGGGAGGGGGGGGCTCAGGGCGCTGCTCCCCGGGCCCTCCCCAGCTCCTCCTGGATCCGTTTCGGCAGCTCCGGGTGTGTGAAATACGCTGAGGGGTTGGGGGGCAGGGGGTGAGCGGGGGTACAGCCCCCCCCCCCCACTGCTCCTTTATCCCATGGGGACCCCTTCTGCTGCTCCCCACTATTGTGGGGCACCCCCTTTGCCCCATGGGGACCATCCCACCCCTGTGGGACCCCCTCGGTGCTTTCCACACTGTGGGGTCCCCCCCAGCCCATGAGGGCTCCCCCTCACCTGCAGCAAACCCCAGGACATCATCCGGCCGCTGGAGCAGCACCTCCCTGCAGGGGAAGTGTGGGGGGGTGTCACAGTGGGTTTTGGGGGGAAAAGGGTCCGTTTTGGTGTTGTTTCCCACGTGGAAAGCGGTTTTATCGGGTAACGATTGGGATTTTCCACACTGATCCCGGTGTTCTGGTGCAGTTGATGGGGGGGTGCGGGGGGGGGGGAGGCCGTGTCTCACCTGAGGAAGCCCCTCAGCAGCAGCGCCACAGCCGGGTGTGCCCGAAGGTACCGCTCGGCGCTCAGGCGGAGCGAGGGCTGCGGGGGGGAGGCGGTCAGGAGTGGGGTTCCCCGGACGGGACCCCCGGAACCCCTCCGCTCCCCCTCAGCCCCCGCCGGTACCTGGGGAGGCCGCGGCGGCGGCGGTAACGGCGGCGGCGCCATCTTGGCGGAGCGGCCCGTCGCTATGGCAACGGGAGGACGGGGGGGGCGGCGACGGTTTGCGCTCAGCACCCAGGACAGCGCCGTGGGCGGGGCCACGCGAGGCCACGCCTCCCCGTGTGAACACTCCCGTGCGTGTGCGCGCACGGCGGGCACGAGCACGCACGCGCAGCACCGCGCACGCACAACCCCCCCCCCGCACACAGCCCCCCCTCCCCAACCTCCACCCCAGCCGAGCCCCGGGGCGAGGCGGTGCCGGTGCCCGTTCCCGGTGCGCGTTCCCGGTGCCCAGCAGCGGGTCCCGGTCGCTGGGGTCCGTTGCCGGTGCCCATTCCCGGTGCCCGATCCGCAGCGCCCCGTGGCCGGTTCCGTTTTCCCGGTAACGGCTCCCGGTGCCGCTCCGGGGAGGCTCCGACCGGGGAAGAAAAGCGGCGGGAGCGGGGCCGGGACCCGCCGGGGCCGCCATGGGCCGTGCCGGGCGCTGACCGCCCCCCTCGCCGGTACCGAGCATCCCCCGGTGGTGCCGGCGGGGCGGGCGCTGTTCCCCCCCTTCCCCGGTCCCGGGCTCGGTGCCGCCGCCCGGGAGGCTCCGCCGGGACCCGTCGGGACCCGCCCCCCGGGCAGCGCTGCCCCCGCCCCGCCGCGCCCCGTCCCCGGCGCCGAGCCGAGCCCCGGGGCCGCCTCGTCCCTTTGTGTGCGCCGCGACCGGGCACCGGCGGGAGCGATCCCGGGAGCCGCAGCGAGCGCCCCGGGGCCCGGCCCCCCCCCGGCGGCCCCCATGAAGGAGCCCGACGCCATCAAACTCTTCGTGGGGCAGATCCCGCGGCACCTGGAGGAGAAGGACCTGAAACCGATCTTCGAGCAGTTCGGCAAGATCTACGAGCTGACCGTCATCAAGGACAAGTACACCGGGATGCACAAAGGTACCGGGAACCGGGACTGGGAACGGGGAACACCGGCGTGGCCCTGGGTGATGGAGAGCTGGGCGCAGGCCTTGGGAATGGCACCAGGAACAGCTCCCGGTACTGGGAACAGCCTCGTGTGCGGCCCTCGGTACCGAGAACGGCTCCGGGTACCGGGCACAGCCTCGGGAATGGCTCCCCATGCCGGCAACAGCCCCCGCCGTTAGGGACAGCCCCATAGAGAGCCCCAGGCGCAGCCCCACATATGGCTCAACCTACAGCCCCACATACAGCCGGGAACAACCCCCAGCACCAGGAACAGCTCCCCATCGAGCCTCCAGTACCAGGAACAGCCCCAGCACTGGGAACAGCCCAATTACAGCCCCACATCCAGCCCCCGGTACCCAGCACAGCCCCACATACGCGCTCAGGAGGCCCTGAGCATCACCCTCAGCTCATCCTACAGCCGCAGGCCCAGGGTACAGCCCCATGTACAGCCGCAGGCCTGGGGTACACCTGAGCTGGGTGTCAGGGTGTGTGTGGGGCTGTTGGGTGGATCAGGGTGTACGTGGCATTCGCGTGGCTGGGGGTGCTGGGGCTGTTGTGGCAGCAGAAGCCGTGCGGGTGTTGGGTGGAGGGGTTGCGGCCGGGTGTTGCGTGGGTGCTCTGGGGGTGTTGTGTGGGTGCTGGGTGATGGTGGGGGGGGTTCTGTGGCAGTGATGGTGCCACAGCCATGGGGTGCTGGGGGCTCTGTGCTCTCCACCCAACCCCAGCACCTACAACAAGCGTGGGGAGGCTGAGACCAGCGCAGGCCTGAGGCCGGGTGATGGGCACCCAGGCAGCGGAAACGGGGTTTTGGGGTGCCTGGCCTCAAAATGGGCATTGTGGATGCTATGGTGGGGGGGGGAGTTGTGGGTGCTTTTGGGGGGAATCTGGGGGTCCCGCACCACCTCCATCGCCCCTATTACCCCCCCCCCCCAGGATGCGCTTTCCTGACCTACTGTGCCCGAGAGTCGGCCCTGAAGGCGCAGAGTGCTCTGCACGAGCAGAAAACCCTCCCGGGGGTGAGTGGGGGCGCGGGGACCCCCCCAGGACACCGGGAATACCCGTGGGATAGCGGGACCCCCCTACCCTGTGACACAACCCCCCTCTCCATAGGGCTCCTATCACCCACCCTGGGGAGCCCCTGGGACCCCGCCTTTGGAGGGGGGGTACCCCCAAACATCAGCCGGGGGGGGGGTTACAAACAGGGGTGGGCACTAACCAAGGCCTGGCACTAAGGGGGCACCAGGCCAATTGAGATAACAAAGCTGGGGAGGGGGGGGATACCCTGGGTGACTGGGTGCCCCCCACCCTCCACTGCAGCTGGGTGCTGGGAGGGGGGGGGGGTCCCCAAAAGCCAGCTCCCCCCCTCCCAACCAATGGGTGGCAGAGGCCTCATTGGAGGGGCGGGTCCCCGCTATGGGGGCAGTGTGGGGCTTCCTATGCATGGAGCAAGGGGGGGGGGTCCAAGCCCCGCCAGCCCCGGGGGGGGGATTTGGCTTCGCTGGGATAATCCGGGGATTTGGGAGCTGTAAATCCCGGGGGGGGATTTGCTGGGGGGGGGGGGGAACACACACACGATGGGGGATTAGGGGCGGCCCCAACACTTTCCCCCCCCCCAGCACCGCATGGGGCTGGGGGTGCGAGTACGACCCCCCCCGCACCCCCAGGCCGCGGGGTGGGGGGGTGATGCTGGGGGGATCCCCGGGGTAATTTGGGTGTTGGGTGCCTGCTGCCCCCCCCCCCCCCGTGTGTGTGTGCGCGGCCCCCACAGCCCGCTCGGGGCTGATCCCAGCCCAGGGGGGATTAGGGGGGGATTAATGCCCCCCCCCAGCTCCGGGGGGGCATTTCCAGCACCATCTGCACCGGAGGGGGGGGGCTGGAGCCACCTTCGCTTTCAGAGGGGGAATGGGGCCACCTGGGGTCAGCGGGGCTGAAATCGACCCCCCCATATTCCACCCCTTATTCCTTCTCCCCATAGTCCCCCTGTATCTTCACCCTATATCCCCCCCCTGCATCCCGCTCCCCACCCCCAAATCCCGGGAGGGGGGGGAGGGGCGGGGTCACGGCAGGTCGGGGGGGGGGGTCCCTCCCCTCCCCCCCCAATCTCCATTCCCCCCCTTTCGACCCCCCCCCATCCCCGTCATTGTTTATAGCGAGCGCTGATGATGTCAGCGGCGTTGCCGGGCAACGGGGATGGGTAAATTGGGGATGAGTGGGCGGTTGCCATGGAGCATATTCTGCCGTTGCCATGGTTACCGGGCATCTGCGCCCCCCCCACCCCCCCGGTCTCCTGGGGTTACGGGGCTGGGGGGGGGGCGGGGGGTGGGTTCGTCCCCCCCCCTAATTGGGGGGGGGGGAGTCGGGTGCTCATTAACGCATAATTTGGGCCCCTCAGGCCCCCCCCATGGCGGTCGCCGCGGCAGCTGTTGCTGGGCAACGGGATGCAAGGCCGGGGTTGCCATAGCGACGGGAGCATCTTTGGGGTGCGGGGGGGTGGCTCCGTGCACCTCTCGCCTTGTGGGGGTGTCCGGCCGAACCCCAGGGACCCCACGGGGGGTTCCGGGTTCCGGGGGCGGGGTCCCCTTATCCTAACTCTGCCCCCCCCCAGATGAACCGGCCCATCCAGGTGAAGCCAGCGGACAGTGAGAGCCGAGGAGGTACCGCCCCCCCCAACCCCGCACCCCCCATGGCCCCTCCCAACCCCCAGGACCTCCCCCCGGACACCCCCCCCGCTCCCATTCATCCCTATCCCCACAGGGGTGTCCCCATCCCAGGGTCTGTCTGTCCCCAGAGGGGTGTCCCCATCCATGGCCTTGGGGTGGCACCCCCATTCCTTGGCATCCCAGCCCATCCCGGTGTCCCCACATCCCCATCTCTGGGTCCCAGCCCATCCCCGTGTCCTCTGGGCGGGGGGGGGGGCCCGTCGCGGGGTGTGTGTTTGGGGGTGCCCCCGTGCCACCCCCCCGTCCCCGCAGAGGACCGCAAGCTCTTCGTGGGGATGCTGAGCAAGCAGCAGGCGGACGAGGACGTGCGCAAGATGTTCGAGCCCTTCGGCACCATCGACGAGTGCACGGTGCTGCGCGGGCCCGACGGCACCAGCAAAGGTGGGGGGCACCCCAGGGCTGGGGGGGGCTCAGGGGGCTCTGGGGGGTGTGGAGGAGGGGATCCAGGGGGGGCTGGAGAGGGGTCAAGGGAGGCCATGGGGTGATGGGGGCTTAGGGCGGTGATGCCCTGGTCCCCATGGGGGGGGGGGGGTGTTCTTTGGGGGTGCTGATCCCCATCCCCCCCCCCCAAGGCTGCGCCTTCGTCAAGTTCCAGAGCCATGCGGAGGCTCAGGCCGCCATCGCCGCCCTGCACGGGAGCCGCACCCTGCCGGTGAGACGGGAACTGGGCACCCAGCACCAGCACACAACACCCAGCATCCAGCACCAGCACCCAACACCCAACACCCAGCACCAGCACCCAACACCCAGCATCCAGTACCAGCACCAGTACCAGCACCCAATATGCAGCACCCAACACCCAGCACCAGCACCCAACAACCAGCACCCAACACCCAGCACCCAACACCCAGCACCCAACACCCAGCACCCAGCACCCAGCACCCAACACCCAGCACCCAACACCCAGCATCAGCACCCAACATCCAGCATCAGCACCCAACATCCAGCACCCAACACCCAGCATCAGCACCCAACATCCAGCATCAGCACCCAACACCCAGCACCCAACACCCAGCATCAGCACCCAACATCCAGCATCAGCACCCAACACCCAGCACCCAACACCCAACACCCAGCACCCAACATCCAGCACCAGCACCCAACATCCAGAACCCAACACCCAGCACCAGTATCCAATACCCAGCACCCCAATACCCAGCACCCAGCACTCAGCACCTCAGCACCCAATACCCAGCACCCAACACCCAATAGCCAGCACCCAACACTCAGCACCCCCAGCAGCAGCTCCACCGCTGCCCACACCACCATCCCCTTCACCATCATCGTCCCACCATCGTTCCCAGCATCACCACCACCATCATCCCCATCATTACCCTCCCCACCATCATCACCCTCAACACCATCATTCCCTTCACCACCATCCCCTTCACCATCACTGTCCCCTTCACCACCATCATCA